GTTTGAACTTAAATTTAATTAATAAAATTAGTATTTTTATATTTTTATGTTTTATTAAAAAAAAAAAAAAAAAAATAGGAAGAAATTTTTAGTCTATCCTATATATAATTCGAGTGAATAAAAAAAAGTCGAAACAGGGACCGAAATATTCGAAAAACGAAACTGAAGGGAAGTTAATGAATCATATCTTTTATATATATACAATAATTTATATTTTGATCCTTTATTAAAAAAAAAAAAAAATAGGAGGAAATTTTTGGTTCACCCTATACATATTTCGAGTAAATAAAAAAAGTCGAAACAGAGACAGAGGCATTCGAAAGACGAAACTGAAGAGAAGTTAATGAATCATGTCCTTTCCGCGTCGATTAAGTGTATCTCGAATATCACGAGCCAACCGGAAGTGATTATCGGAGCATGCAGTCGCGTTGACAAACGATCTGCACGATCGTCGAATCTTAAATGTAATTAACCCTTTGGATTCCAATATCGAGTTACACGATCGATTTGAAAGGGAAAGTCAATTGTAGTCCTCTGCAGACTGTGAATTTGAACTTTCAATTTCGATTCTCCGCACTGAAGATTGATAAATACAAATTGCAATGAATGGAAATTATATTGTACATTATAAATACAATATAATATGTAGAAATATATAGAGATTATATAATATTTGAAAATATTATGTACATATGTACATAATATATTATTTACTATATTATTTGTTATATTATATTTCATATATTATTTGTTATATACGAAATGTTGTATGACAGAGAAATAAATGAAAGTAAATGCAAATTTGAATTTTCAATGTCAATTCCTCGAACTGAAGATTGATAAGTACAAATTCTACTAAATAGTTAATCTAAATTATAGTGTTGTATAGATTGTATTATAAATACAATATATACAATACAAATATATACAAATTACGTAATAAATACAAATTTGAATTTTCAATTTCAATCCTTCAAGACTGACAAGTACAAACTGTATTCACAGTAAATGCAAATTACATTATAAATACAATTATACGGATCAGACTTTACGGCAGGCACGGTGCAACGTAGCTGTAATAAATAATATTTGCCAAAGACCGAGAGGAAAAGGGTTAATTACAGGGACTTCCGAGATGAACGACGAAAAAATTTGCTTGGCGCCGACGTTCAAAATGCGACAGCAGGTCGAGATGACATCGAGAAACGATACAATCAGACAAGAAGAAACGATTGATACGAAAGCTGTCAAAGTACGCGTGTATGTATGTATGTATGTATGTATGTATGTATATGAGAGAGAAAGAAAATTGCAAATAGAAAATACAGAGAAAAGTGTATCAACTCACCGAACTTGCCTCTCCGAAGCAGATCGTTCGGTACGCAGCGGGGGCCCGTGGCACCACCATGCTGTCCATTCAGCATGGCGAGATGTGTCAAAAACACGCACCGACGAGTCGTATCTTCTTTCTTGACGTTTAAACACGCGCGACACTCAACAAGCGTCTTTTCGCCGCCGTTCGGAAACGGAAAGATAAGAGAGCGACAATTCCGTAACATCTCGTTTCGTGTACACGCATCCGCGACAACAGCAGCATCATTCACACACCTGACACGACACGCACGTACACACAAACACACACACACCGTAGGAAAACTGTACACACATCACACACAGACAGACAAGCATACAATCGCAAAGCATACGTGACGTTACATGCATGTAGATTGGCAGGTTGTACAGGGACGAGCGTCGTGTACCCCATTTAAGGTGATGTGCGGTCGAGTTCGACTCGAGGGATCGTGAAATGAAAGAGACCGAAGTGTAACCTATCGCCTGCAACGATCGCTGGCTGCCCAGCTTATGTACTTTGGCGGCCCGACCGTCAGCGAGAGTGACGATTCCCACGAAAACCCGGTTTCCTGACACAAACCGACCGATTCGACGGAGAAACCTGATACAACGGCGAAACGTCATTCCGCCGTACTAACCTATGCGTCGTACGTCAACCGGTTGTCGCGATTACTCAACGAGTTCAAAACATTTCCGCGATACTGACTCGTGCAGATATCACGACGGCTGCCATATTGAAATCTCATTCCGTCGGCCACCGACAACGCACTCGCGAAAGACCGACGATCGTGCGAAAGTTTGCTGGACGCGAGTGGCTTGCAGTTCCTCTTTACCGACCGAGCCAATGGCGGCGAGTGAACAAGACTGGCGGCAAAAACGAAAAGAAAAAACGAAAGTAAAACGGATTCAAGGACAGACTCGTTGGAAAAAAATCTCGACGAAATTGTTCAGTGTGCGTATGAGTTAGATAAGATTGTATTCCATTAATTATCGGTTACGTTAATTATTGCAGCATTATTAATTGAAAGAATACGTTCATAATTCGATCGATAGTCGCGACCCCTTAAGGCATGATGCTTGAGGTATTTCGTTACGCAGTCAATGAATTACGCATGAAGTTTAAACATGCGCTTGTAATTAATGTAATTTTAATAGAATTGTTATTGCGTAATTAATAAAATCATTTGTTTTTAATGGTTGTTGTTACTTCCTAATATGATATTACAACTTTGATGACTACGTAAAGGGCCAGCTACGATTAAGTAATTGTAGACATAGTTTCACGCGATTGTTCGGGCTTTTAGATATTCTTTAACATATTTACATATTCATTAAAGTACTAGAATAAATTTATAGTTTGTTGTTTCATCACAAGATTAATATCTGTTGCTACATGTATTTTGTTTTATCTTTCTCTCGTAATATCAGTGAATAAAATTTATTGTTTATAAATTAAAATATTCGGAATATTAATTTTTTATTTATTCTCCGTCACTATTCCTGTCATATCATTAAAAATCATTAATAATCGGTAAGGGAACTTTCCTATTTGCATTAATCCAGAACTTACAAAACTTGTTCCCGTCTATGTTCCTATTTAATCTATGTCCATGCAAAAATCAACGAGTCGATTTTTCCCGCGGTTTTAACTTAAAGTTTGAAGATGGGAGTTGACAGTGCTACGGAAGGATCTATGGATGTGGAAATTTTGCCATCCACGAGTGGTTACAACGCAAAAAGCAAAGAGAAAACTGGGAAATCGGATAATTTGCCATGGTACGTTATTGTAGCTAACAAATATTTGCATTCTTCGTAATTAAGGACTTTCGAGGTTATGTTTTCAAGTCATAACGTAATCAAACAACAATTCTTTGTTTAGGATTGAAAAATATCGACCACAAGTATTTTCTGACATTGTTGGCAATGAAGACACAGTATCCAGATTATCGGTGTTTGCCCAACACGGCAACTGCCCTAATATTATCATTGCTGGCCCACCAGGTGTTGGTAAAACTACAACTATATTATGCTTAGCACGCATTTTATTGGGACCAGCATTTAAAGAAGCAGTATTGGAATTAAATGCGTCAAACGACAGAGGAATTGATGTAGTCAGAAATAAGATTAAAATGTTTGCTCAAAAGAGGGTAAATATCTCTCATAAGTATCATATCTTTTGTAAAAATTTTTTCAACAATCCGTTTTGTTTTTACTTAGGTAAACTTACCGAAAGGAAAGCACAAAATAATAATTCTCGATGAAGCTGATAGCATGACTGAAGGTGCGCAACAAGCATTACGTAGAACAATGGAGATATACAGTCATACAACTAGATTTGCATTAGCTTGTAATTCAAGCGAAAAGATTATTGAACCAATACAGTCACGTTGTGCTATGTTAAGATACGGAAAATTGTCAGACGCACAAGTTTTAGCAAAGATTATTGAAGTTTGTAAGATAGAAAATGTACAATCAACTTTTAAAAAATTCTTACATTTTTGTTTAAACAGGAATATATTACGATAACATTATGTATATAATGAATTAACCAGGTTTCACATACAGACGATGGTCTAGAGGCAATAGTGTTTACTGCACAAGGTGACATGAGACAGGCCCTAAATAATTTACAATCGACTTATAATGGTTTTGGTCATGTAAATAGCGTGAATGTCTTTAAAGTTTGTGATGAACCGCATCCATTACTTGTTAAAGAAATGCTTGAGTTGTGTACACAGGGTAACATTTCCAAAGCATATGGGGTAAGTTACTTTCCTATTTTCAGCTGTTTATTTAATATAACATAGGAATGTGAAACGTTCTTTCATATATATTTGCAGATAATGGAACATTTATGGAAAATGGGATACTCTGCAGAAGATTTAATCAGTAATATTTTCAGAGTTTGTAAGAATCTACCTATTGAAGAAACGTTAAAATTAGATTTTGTAAAAGTAAGTCGGAAAATACATTCTCAAAACGTTGTAAAAGAAGTCATGCGTGTATGTAAAAATACTAATTTGGAACTCATTTCAGGAAATTGGAATAACTCATTTAGGAATAGTGGATGGAATTAATAGTTTACTACAAATGAATAGTCTTCTTGCCAGGCTTTGTCTAAGATCTATGAAGAGTTAAGAATGAAATGTCTACTAATTATTTAAGAGAATAAAACTATTTACATATTTTTATTACATACTTTTTTTATTTTTCTGGAAAAATTTATACTTCGACTAGCAATTGAAAAAGATTGGATTTGATGTCCTTTACATAATATATGTTCCAAAGCTTTCTAGTCGCATAAAAATAAAAGGAAGGTTCATATTATTAGCAGTACTAACATTTACAACAATACGTTAAATTAGAGAGTATAAGTGTACGATTCGTGTACTTTGTACGAAAACATTTCTTTTATATTTAAAGCGAAATTATTCATATTTAATTGATTAACTTGAACGTTTATATTCCGTAGTATACGAGACGAATGTGTATAATGAAATATTTTGCACTGTATTGTCAGTCGATACAGTCAAACAGATATAAAAAAAAAAAAAAACATGTCAGACGAGTAAATTCAAAATAATTCAGTCTTCTTAAAGTGTACGTAAGAAGCTTAAAAATATTATTTTGTATTTACAAGAATCCTTCGAAATTTCCCAATTTTTCTTGTCGCAACAGAGATTTTTAAAAATACTTCTCGAATATTTATGTTTACACTTGGAAAAATTTATCCAGCGTGCGTTGATATTTCAAACGTCATTCATATTCATAATGATTCTTTCTTTCTTCTTACTTTTTTTTCTTTTTTTTCTCTATTCAACACCATTTTTCCATCGTGACAGGTGCCAAATGAGGTCGTGGCTTAGGGGAAGGCCACCGTAACGCGCTCTGACAAGATTCCGCTCTGGAAGGTGTCCTCGGCGGAGGTTGAGGTGGATTGGAATGCGATTCTTGCATATAGTTATTCGTCTCTCCGTTGGTTTCTGTTCGGGTGCTTTTCTCCGGCGGATCACCTTTGTGATTTCTCTTCATCGGTTTCTTCGCTACGTCGTGATGCGCAGCTGGCGGTGCACTTTCTACGGACTGAAGGCTAGCCGCTCGATGCAGGGACAATCGAAGCGGCTTTTTCGGTGGCGCTGGACGAGATTTCGATTCTTGGGAACTGTAGACTGCCGATATATCTGAGTTTTCTGACGCTCGCGACTGACTCTCCTGAGAGCAATGAGGAATTGTAAAATGATTTGATCGTAATTTAAACAAAAATTAGTAGAAAAAATATATTTATATATATATTACCTGTAGCCGGTAGTAAGTTGGTTCGGAATCGAAATCTAACGGTTGCACTTGAGACGAGTTTTTACGACTCTTGGACAAGTGTTCAATGGCCAAGTCGACGCGCGGCGGTCTTCTACGTTGCAATTGCGGCTGAACTTGCGTCTGCTTGCAGTCCAAGCTCGCAGTTGATCTGGTTAATGGAAACCCTTGATGTTTCTGTTTATTTCGCGACTTGTGATGACCATTGGAAATGCTAGCTGATGACGAGTCGAATTCGTTCGAGATCTTCACGTCCAGCGAACGCTTCGAGTGATCGCTGTGTCTGCTTCTCACTGTAGGCAAACTCTGCCGTAATTCCATCGAGTTTCTCACATTAAGACCAGGAAGATTCGCGACTAACGCGGTTACTTGTGGCCCCTTTTGAAAAACCTAGGCGGAAAGAATTCTCTCTTGAGAGTTCAATACACTAAAACACCCAAGGAAATCACTACTGATATCAGAATCATCCTTATATGTAGAACGTTTATCTATACTTAAAGTATCATCTTTATGTATTTTATATATAAAGTATCATCTTTATGTACTTTATATGCTTAATTATTTTTATGCATTTTATATATAAAACGTTTAAAGTATCTGGATACATTCACTACTGATGAATGCGTGTTCCCATCTTTATGTATTTTATATATAAAGTATCATCTTTATGTACTTTATATGCTTAATCATCTTTATGCATTTTATATATATAGAACGTTTTATCTAAACTTACAGTATCAGGATACATTCACTACTGATGAATGAGTGTTCCCATCTTTATATATTTTATATATAAAATATCACCTTTATGTACTTTATGTGCTTAGTCATCTTTATGCATTTTATATATAGAACGTTTTACCTAAACTTAAAATATCTGGATACATTCACTACTGATGAATGCGTGTTCCCATCTTTATGTATTTTATATATAAAGTATCATCTTTATGTACTTTACATGCTTAAGCATCTTTATACATTTTATATATAGAACGTTTATCTAAACCTAAAGTATCTCGATACATTCACTACTGATGAATGCGTGTTCCCATTTAAACGTTGCATCCTGTATCTAACTGTCGCGCTACAATAGAACTATGATAGAAACGATAAAGCTCCACGCAGGCAGACTGCTGCGTAGAATAATGAATTTTCTTTATGCTTTCGCCTAAGGAGGAGAGTAACGTGCATTGTGATCGTCTTGCAGTATACCTGAACTTGTTCTTGACGGGATGGCGGAGGGTCTGCAGGGACTTCGGCACGGCTTGGCGCAAGAAGATCCCTAACCTGTTCCTCGAGATATCCAATCCTGTGAGTCAGCCGGAGGTTATCAGATCGAAGAGTGCGGAGTGCTGCCAGGGATTCACCCTTTCGAAGGACCACGATTTGCGCGGCATCGGGTGCAACGGCCAACAGCCTCGCCAAATCGCTTCTACCTGCTCCCACCACGAGTTTTCCATTCACCTCCAAGATTCTAAAGACAATGTTGGCTGATAAGTTGGCATCTCCCCTCTCGACGGTTTCACGAGCGTGATCGCACTTAATTAGGTGAAATTTTTCAGCCGACAAAGGAACGGTTGATTTATTATGTTAACGAGAGTTCACGGAAGGAACAATTCGCTCCTCCAGATCTCGAAGGTTTTCTAAATTATTTGTACAAATCTTGCACTCCTTTAGAGCCGAATTGTGGTTCTAGTTTCATGAGATGTTGATAAGAAATATCGAGAAAAGAATTTTGAAACGTTTATGCTGTTCCTCGCTGTATTCAGAACACGGGGAGAGCTGAAAAATCTACGTGAAAACGAGAGGAAGGGGAAGAGATAGGGTCATGTGAAGTCGCAGGTGCAATTAGCGAGGGCACTCGGCGAACTTCCGGTGCCGCTTCACGCTACAGTGACCCGTTGGGAACCGAATGCCAAGATTACGCTATTGTTCAACATTGATAGTTGGGCTGCGTAGCGTAAGCAGACAGTGTTATGTGTTTCAAATATCGTTGCGCTTCCTTCTCCAACGATCCTCGCGTTTCTTTCTGTTTCTCGTCAATTTACTTTCTTCCTCGTCCTCCTCTTCCTCATTGTTCCTTGCAACGTAAATTGCTTTTTCATCGCTCCAGTTTTACTCGCTTTCTCCTTGGAAAATGTCGCAATTTACTATACGAACGATAAAGGTTCTTGTCACGAAGAGAACCAACAATCTCAACGAAACTGAACGATCTAGACTCCACAGTGTTTCCATTGAGCGAAAAAGAAATGCCCCCCCATTCTTCCTTTTACGTAATAATTACCAGCCGACGCTCGCAAAACGCTCTTTACGACTGCGTTTACCCTCGGTATCCGGCACTGAGTTAAGGAAAAAGAATTCTGTTTGCGATAATGTACCGTTACACGCAGGTAACGACCGAGACACTTTGCAACTTTTTATCGGTTTGCTCTTTTTCTTTTTTTTTTTCTTTTTTTATCGTTGTCGTTGTGAAATTTACCATTAAGCGGGATACGTGGAACGTGAAAGTGTGTACTTGTGAAAGTGTTGGCAGTTAAAAAATTGTAATTTGAGTCCTGACGATTGGAAAACTATTGAAACTATAAGATAATGTAGTAACATTTGATCCCAGGGTCCGTTCCTCTTGAACGAAGAGTATTTCTGTAAGATTCTAAATTGTACGAAACCTGTCTCCCTTGCACAATCCAGAATCCTCGACCGCCCAGTCGACGTACAAGCCAGGTGTATCTTCCCTCGGTCCAGCGCCGAAACGAGGACTTTTTGGATCCGCGCTAACTTCCACCGCGTGGATCGTGACTTGCGTAGAGCCAGAAATACAACTGTAAATTAAATAACAAGTGACACTTAACAATGATTTCAACAATGGTTTCTTTGATCTAACAGAGATACCTAAATATCGTGTCATTTTTCTGTTTCTCTTGAGTCTCTGCCAGTTCCAGAGCAGCTTGCAGAGCTCTGCTTTCTTCGCGAAGAGTCAACAGCTCGAGCTCCTCCCGTCCGAGTCTATATTCTAACTCAGCCTGCTGAATCCGAACGTCGATGTTACTGGAATAAAGATAAAATCGATTAAAATAATTACTATCAAGTGTGACATGAAATTTAAAAATTTAAAAATGTACCAATTGCACTCCGAACAAGTAAAAAGGAATATTTATGTGTAAACGGAGAGAGGAAAAAGAAAAAAAGTTTCCCATACCGGGAATCGAACCCGAGCCTCCTGGGTGAAAGCCAGGTATCCTAGCCACTAGACCATATGGGATTTAGATACCATGGTTAGTCAAGTTATGGCTCATCTTCTGCTCAATTTTGACACTTCTAATTTTAATTTATTATTTTTGTAATTTATCGATCATAATAAATTAATTATTAAAATTTTCAGACGTTTCAGTTGGTCTGAATTTAATATAAGTACAAGTTATTTAGACGTCACGGAAAAGATTATAAAATATACTTTTGAATCTTCCTGTGGTTCACACGCAGTGTGATCTCTAACTGGACCTAATTTATGGTAGCTTCGACCTTTATCTTGCGGCAACTGATAATCGACAGCACGAGTGTCTACTTACTCTGTAATGTCTAGCCGTTCGAGCGCCAATTTCAAATTCTTTATCGCAAGCCGTTTGTTATCCGCGTCGCGTCGCAGCCTTTGAAGCCTCTCCTCGGTTGCTTTCCTGTCAGCCTCTGTCAAAGGTGGGGCGCCGTTGCGCAACGCTAATCTATTGCTCAGCGTGTTGCACAGTTGCCCCTTCAACCTGAAACACAATGAAAAATCTTAGAATCACACTGTGCGAGGGCCGTTTCGTTTGAGGTGAATATCTCTCTCTTTCTCGAGGGGAATGCTCTCTTACGTTTGGATGATATTTTCCTTGTCACGCAATGCGATTCGAAGAGCGTCCAATTCCTTGTAGTGGTCTCTGTTTCGATGACCGGCTGGCGATGTCACTCCACCGGAAACGCTTCCACCTTTCTTTCTTCTTGGTGTTGTTGACAAGGACACCTCGATGCTGGCCATCTGGAAAAATATATTAATTTATACTTCTATATTATTATACATTATTCTATATTTTCTACATTATTACATCTATATTTATACTTCTATATTGTTATATATTATTGTATATTTTTCTACATTATTACATCTATATATATAGTGCTATATTGTTATTTATTATTTTATATTTTTCTATATTATTATATCTATAATTATATTTCTATATTATTATATAGAAAAATATTTATAGAAAATAAATATTATATAGAACATTTTAGAATGGTACAAATATTACAATATAGAATACAGAATATAAATATTTAATATTATATTATATAGAATGTTGTAATATTCTATATATATCTATATTATAATGTTACAGAATATTATAATAATATAATATTATATAGAATATCATAAACATTATGTGAATATTATATAGAAGAATATATTGATAAAATTTTATTAATGTACATTATCTTATATATTATTTTATAGTATCATCGAGTACCATGATAATTCAAAATCAACACTATAAAGGCTGGTGACGTTACTGGAGCGTCATGTGATTCTTAAACTGTTGGTAACTATTGGCGTCACATATGACTTTCAACAATTAACAATTAACATAATAAATTCATTTAACTTAATACATTCAAATATATACACGTTATTCATCGTACACATATTCCACTCATCTTCGTCCGCGTTTCTATAAATTTTTAACAAAAATGTTCCAATTTTTGGTGTTATATCGAAGTCAATATGTCGAAGTCGATGCTCGAAGCTCCACGCTGTGAATATAAATTTAATCGTTCAAACGTAAGTCCACAATTTGCGATAGGATAGTCAGAGACGGCCGCGTCTCGATCTTAATGGACTTCCACAACATCGGTACTGCACACCCCGATGGTCCTTGAAAGAGGCAGCACTTGGGCCTCTCCTGCTGGCATACAACACGGAGAAGGTCAATGCCGGCCTTGACTGCGCAGCGACCAGAAAGAAGGATGCGATACGAGACCTTGCACGCCCGGTGTGTCCCACACGAGACCACCAACTAGATTTGCTTGCAGAAAATATGCAACCAACCGGATATCCTCCGTAGCCATTGCCAAACATTCCTTCTGCTGTATATATATATCTTTTTGTCTCGAGTATCTCTCGCCGTTTCTTTCACTCTTCAACTCGTCTCCTTTTAATTTACATCAAGGTTACTCTACGTCCCCTCTCTTTGTCCAACTTATTACTTTATATATTTTATTATATTATTTTATGTTATATTATATTATTATTTTATTATATTATTTTATGTTATATTATATTATTATTTTATTATATTATTTTATGTTATATTATATTATTATTTTATTATATTATTTTATGTTATATTATATTATTATTTTATTATATTATTTTATGTTATATTATATTATTATTTTATTATATTATTTTATGTTATATTATATTATTATTTTATTATATTATTCTATGTTATATTATATTATTATTTTATTATATTATTTTATATTATATTACATTATTAGTTTATTATATTATTTTATATTGTATTACATTATTATTTTATTATATTATTTTTTATTGTATTATATTATTATTTTATTGTATTATTTTATATTATATTATATTATATTGATATTTTCTATACAAAAATAAAAAACATCTTTCGCCCTATTGCAACAAATAAGTCCATCAAGATTCTGTTAATCATTATCAAGAGTGTAAAAAGTTTATTTATTTTAGTTATTAGCTAAATTTAAGTATGATGCCCAGTTGCAGGGGACAGTCGAGTGCAAAGGGTTAAAATCCATCGATTGACGTGATATTAATTAACTGAATCGTGACATTACCATTTACTGCAATTGGACGAAGAAAGATTTCGAGATTTCACTAAGTAAGTTTCCGTGAAATTCATCGACTTCATTCAGAACACATCAAAGTATGGTTAAATATTATATATAAAATATTTCATTACGGTGTTCGAATATTTTCGTACGATTCTGCACGTGCCCTTCAAATTTCCTTACACACGAAAGACAGAGAATTTCGTTCGCGTAACAGAGTCAGCGAATAAGCCAATTTGGACTTGGCTACGCGCTCGCGCGTTTATTTTCATCTGGAGGCAAGGGATAAACGGTTTTTAAGCATCACTTCTCGCTTCGCACGTTCTTCGTTCGCTCCCGAGCTTTTTTCACACCGACAGCTCTTCCTCGGCGTTCGCTCGTGAGATTATCTTCAAACCGAGATTTACGGCAATAAAGATTGCACGAAGGTTGTGCAGGGCGAAAACTTTCGCGAGTAACACGCGTTCGACTCGAAAAACAGTCGAAGCCTTGACAAACACCTGAAATGGTTCTAGCGTGGTACAAGAAAAGAAAAAAGAAAAAAAAATAGTAAATGTGTCATTTAACGTTAATTAATTAGGAATTGGACGCCTGAGGAACACTGCAGCAGCTGGTGAGAGACTGTAGGGTGACAAACAGAGAGGTAAAAATCTAGAAGACATTCTGAGAGGCAAAAGGAACGAAAAGACAGAAAGGTGGCTAGAAGAGATCAAATGAAGAAAAGAAGCATGGTCAAGGAGGCCAGAAGGAATAGAAAGTGAGAAGATAATCAAAGACGGGCAAAGGTAATACGCGGTACATTCGTATGGTAAACAATTAGGGCAATAAGGTAGAAAATAAAAGGGCAATCTAGGATAAGAGAAAGAGAAGTCAGGCAATACAATTGAGGTTAAATTGTTAAGTATAGCATAAAAGAATAGTGTAGGTTAGTGTTAAATTGTTAAGTATAGCATAAAAGTATAGCGTAGGTTAGTGTTAAATTGTTAAGAATAGCATAAAAGTATAGTTAAATTGTTAAGTATAGCATAAAAGTATATTGTTAAGTATAGCACTATGGTATATTGTTAGGTATAGTGTTAAATTGTTAAGTATAGCACTATAGTATATTGTTAGGTATAGTGTTAAATTGTTAAGCATAGCACTATAGTATATTGTTAGGTATAGTGTTAAATTGTTAAGTATAGCACTATAGTATATTGTTAGGTATAGTGTTAAATTGTTAAGTATAGTACTATAGTATATTGTTATGTATAGTGTTAAATTGTTAAGTATAGCAGAAGTATAGGGTAGGTAGAGTATAAAACAGATATGAAGAGTGAAGAGCGATAACGAGAGAAACAGAGGGAATGAAAAAGAAAAAAGAGAAATGTTAATCAAGTCCACTTTTATGGCTGTGAAGCTGAAAAATACAAAAATTACTTCATTTATTATTTTATTATCTTTGGCGAAGCTCCGAGCTGAATGAGCGAGAACTCGCGCCGTATGTGGCAGGAAACAAAAGACAACCCGAGTTCAAGGGTTACGGTGCAATATCTATTTCTCATAAACATCATTTTCCAACGATACCATGGTGTGTCAGACGTGGTCGATATCGATAAAATCAATTAAATTATCGATTTAGGATTTCAAGCTTGCTATTACAAAAGTTCTTGTCACTTATTTATTAATATTATTAATATTATTAATATCCTTTTACGTATTATTCTTATCACTTATTAATTTACTAATATTATTATTACAAGATTATTATTATTAATCTCTTAATTTACTAATATTATTATTCGAAGATTATTATTATTAATCTCTTTATTATAATTATTAATCTCTTAATTTACTAATTTATTATTATTAGAAGATTATTATTATTATTAATCTCTTTATTATAATTATTAATCTCTTAATTTATTAATTTATTATTATTAATCTCTTTATACGTATTATTCTTATCACTTATTAATTTACTAATATTATTAATCTCTTTATACGTACTATTTTTATCACTTATTAATTTACTAATATTATTATTAGAAGATTATTATTATTAATCTCTTAATTTACTAATATTATTAGAAGAAGATTATTATTATTAATCTCTTTACACGTATTATTACTCTATCCTTTATTAATTTACTAATATCATTAATTTATTTATACGTAGATTAAAAGTTTTTTCTCACCTATTTTTCTTCTTCTTCGATAAAACATCAAAATGTGAGAGAAGAGAACTAATTTTATTAATTCGAAATTAAATTTAGTTTATCGTACTGCAGGATTTATTTTAGTAGCAAGTGATTTTTGACCCACCCTGTATGTATCCGTTTGTGCACAGAAAGGCACAAGTTTGAAAATAAAAATATCACAAAAAGAAAGATTAGAACGGCGAGAGCAACGAATGGATACAAGATGCAAGACAGATCTTCACAAGCGGCACGATGAAAAAAATATATTTTCACGTTTCACCCATATATAGCGTTCCTATACTTTGCTTTTTCCATTTTACTTCGAACGTTTCAACTATCAGTCACCGCCAACGTCGTTGAAATTTCTTAGAAACGCGTAAATCCATTTCAAGGAGTAACGGATGGAACAGTTTCATCGCCAGGGATGCCACCGTGGCGGCGGCAGAAAAAGGAAAGAGCCAGCACGCAACAGACAGTCTAAATCACGAGATACGATAATAGAGACACGAACAACCGCGGAGGAGTCCGCGCATCGAATCGAACATTTTTCCCTCCGGGTTGGGAAGCAAAAGTGGGAACGGATAGACAGTGATCTCGGCACGGACATTCCGTGAACTTTTTTTTCACCTCCCTCCGCGTCGTGTGCGTGTGTATGTGTGTGTGTGTGCGTGTGCAAGCACGATGTACACGTTTGCACGGCGAACAGAGAGGAGACGATAGTCGCAAGTCGGAGGAAGCGGAAATTTATTGCGGAATTTGCATGGAGGAGATCCGCATTTCCGAGATAATCCCGCCAAACCCTCTCCGGGAGGGGAACTGTACACGATGCACAATAGTACTCGTTCAGGGGAACAGAGTCCCGTGTTTAGAGGCTTTTTATACTTTGTCTTTCCCCGCTTTGTCCGGTCTGATAATATCAACGAATTCTTTGAATTACAATCGCCCGACGAATAACATTATTCCCCGAACATTCGCACGA